GCGTCGGCGCGCCCTGGGAGCCCCAGAACTTCATCGGCCCCGTGATCCACGAGCCGAGCTTCAAGAAGCTGACGGGCTTCATCGACGCCGCGAAGAAAGACCCCGAGCTCGAGCTCGTCACCGGCGGCAGGTACGGCGGCTCCCGGGGCTACTTCATCGAGCCCACCATCTACCAGACGACGAACCCGCGCCACGGGCTCCTCGCCACCGAGCTCTTCGGCCCCATCCTGACGACATACGTCTACGACGACACGACGGCTGCCGACCCCGCGAAGGCGTTCGCCGACGCCTGCGCGCTCGTCGACTCGACGAGCGAGTACGGGCTCACGGGGGCCGTGTTCGCGAGCGACCGGGCGGCGATCCGCGAGGCGGAGGAGGCGCTGCGCAACGCCGCCGGCAACTTCTACGTCAACTGCAAGAGCACGGGGGCCGTGGTCGGGCAGCAGCCCTTCGGCGGCGCTCGGGCGAGCGGCACCAACGACAAGGCCGGCAGCATGGCGCTCCTGGGCCGCTTCGTCAGCATCAGGAGCCTCAAGGAGGAGTTCCTCCCGACTAAGACGGTCGAGTATCCTAGTAACGAGGTATGAGGAATCTGACTAGAGAGAGACGGGAAGCGGAACGGAGAATGGCGAGGATCTTGGGACAAATACCTACCCCGCCGTCTGGGGCTCACGAGATGAGATGAGATGTATACATGTATTGGTCAAAAGTATAAGCTGGTGGGGAGTGCTGTTTCGGGTCGGCGGGGTGCGAGGCGAGGTGAGTTGAAAGTCACCTGGAATCGGTTGATGCAATGGATGGGCTATGAGCTATGCCTGAATTTGCAGTAATAAGGGGAAATTACTCAATGCCATTTTCCAGGTGGTATAGTGGAGTGTACTCAGCATGAAACTCAAGAAAATAGTCATATATATATATATATTTACATATCACAGATGTGCTATCTATGCGGCTGCCTCGTAAGAATTAGGACGGAACTTCAGACGATGAGAATTTATTTCACGGATCGGACCTTGCGTACCTGTCTATGAATAATTATATATTAGCAATACTTGTAGGCTGGCTTTCGGTACTCGCCTCACCTGCTGGCGGGAGCCCTCGAAGCCATTATCTAGTTTAGGTATAGCTCCGGCTTGCGCTTGATCATACCTTTTTGGAAGTGTCATCTGGGGATAATCATTAGCGTTTGCTTCGAGTCTGAAACCCATACATAAGATATAGGACGGTGGATAATACGCACCAGTGAAGCTTTTCCTTTTCATTGTCAAGTGGTAATAAGGCCAATGATGATTGGATTTTCATCTACGCTATATAATGTCTTTATGCGTACGAACGATATGCATTTCGATTCGATAAATAAGTTGTAAACTGCCGCAGGCCCCTTTGGGATTTAGGCCATCATTCCCTTAGTTATCATCCCAGTTCTTACAAAAGGCCAAACCTGTCGCGACATTGTGGCTAGGTAGAAATAGATAAAAGCCATCCTTGTCGTTCATTGGTGCTATGCATATTTTGCGCCTCTATAAGGACCCGTCTAGACTGTGGACTCAGCTCCTCACTCTATCCTCCTTGATCAAGCCAGAGCACTTCATTGTTGGTAGTTCTAGACCGGTCGGGGTTTTTTTTGGCTGATTCTTTTCATCAACTCAATAAGAAATGAGTAAAGAGCACAGGTTACCACCGCGCCGCCTCAGCTTCAGCCCTGAGTACAAATAATGCTGATGATAGGGGGCGCCTCCTGTGGCTCGCGCCAGGCTGAACGCCCCGGCTGTTAGGGCTGACTACGTCTTGGACCTAGATACAAAAAAGGGACTCTTTTTTTCTTTTCTGGTCTCGGCATCCCCATCTGTTTAGATGGTTGGTCTTACAAGGGATCCTAAGGTATCATGGTGACTGAAAGTTATTAGAGATTCCTTCATATGTAACTGGCGATAAAAGGCTAGCTCCCCAGCACCCTAAGCTGGTAGGAACAACGAAGCCCTCCTCTGGTGCATTTCAGCGTTGCCTTTTCTTTTCTGTATATCTGCAGTGTTTTCTTAGACGTTCTTTCCAGCTCTCGCACCGTAATAAGCAACGCTCGCTACCAGTTAGAATCATGCCGCCCATCAACGGAGAGAAGGCGCAAGACGATGAGAGAAAAGCAGAAAAGGAGAAGAACAACGCCCGCTATTCAAAGTGGTGGGTGACCGGCGCTTCGCTCGTGGCATTGAGCTGTCACTACTTCTTCGGGCCATCCATCGTTTTCAAGCCGGCGTCGCCCAGCCTCCAGGCCTGCCTGAACAACGTGTGCGCCGGCCGAGACGACTGCGTCCGCTATTCCGGTGACGGTGACTTCAGCTACTACACTCAATGGATTCGCCCCTGGAATCTCGCGTGGGACATTGTCCCGGCAGCGGTGGTTCGTCCGCAGAACACACAGGAGGTTTCGGCTGTCGTCAAGTGCTGCGCGCAGCATGACGTGAAGGTCCAGGCCAGATCGGGTGGCCACTCATACGCGTAAGTGCTCCGTCGGGATAACAGTTGTCTGAATAAAACGCTAAAGTAAAGGGTCTTGTAGAAATTACGGTAAACTACTCTCGTCCCGTCCCTGGCTTATTTCCCATGATGAACTGACACTATGATGGACTAGGCCTCGGAGGAGAAAACGGTGCTGTTTCCATCGACTTGGAATATTTTCAATATCTTAAGATGAATGACTCTGAGGCCTCATGGAAAGCTCGTGTCGGGGCTGGCACTAGACTTGGGGAAGTTGACAAGGCGCTTCATCCTTATGGTCGCGCATTTTCTCATGGCGTCTGTCCTGGTGTTGGGATTGGAGGCCATGCCACTATTGTGAGTTTCGTTGTTTATGTTCCCTTTCCGATGCTTACTAGGTTTAGGGCGGGTTGGGTCCGATGTCACGTATGTGGGGTGCTTCACTTGACCACATCGACGAACTCGAGGTCGTCACAGCGGATGGAGGGATCGTCCGAGCCAACACGGGTGAGAACGCCGACTTATTTTTTGTAAGTTGGCTGTTATATGTCTATATATCTTTAGATGCTTGACTGACACGACAACTTTAGGCCTTGAGAGGTGCCGGTGCTGGCTTTGGCATAATCACTGAATTTGTAATGAAGACACACCCAGTACCCAAAGATGTCATACATTATAGCTACAACTTTCAGTTCAGTCGCCTTACCCAGATGGTCGATGTCTTCGAGGCCTGGCAGAATCTTGTCGCAGACCCCACTCTTGACCCGCGTCTCGGTACCGAGTTCACGCTCTACCCCCTCGGAGCCTCAGTCACGGCGACATTCTACGGATCAGAGGAAGAGCTAAAAGCTACCGGACTTCTAGACCGCCTCCCCCACGGCAAAGACCCTGTTGCGTTGCGTCACGAGACTTGGGACGGATCTATGCGTTCACATGCGGTAAAGGAAGCACTCTACGCAGCCGACATCCCCAACAGGTTTTTCTCGAAGAGTCTCGGGTTCACCCGCAAAGACATGATCTCAAAAGCCAACATCACCGAGCTGTTCAAGTGGGTGGACGAGCAGCCCAAGGGGACGTACCTGTGGTCCATCATCTTCGACGCCACGGGGGGCGCGGTCTCGAAGGTTCCCACGGATGCGACGGCGTACGCGCACCGCGACAAGTTCATGTTCTACCAGTCCTACGGGATCAACATCCTGAATGACAATAGCAAGACAAAGCGCTTCCTGGAACAGTTTCACGAGATGCTTCTCGGGACCACCTCCGGCGGCCCGCACAGCACCTACCCAGGCTATGTCGACCCGTATCTGGAGAACCCGCAGCAGGCGTACTGGATGAGCAACTTGCCTGCTCTTGAGGCGATCAAGGCGAAGTGGGATCCTACGGATCTATTCCACAACCCACAGAGTGTCCTTCCGAAAAAGTTCTGAGGCGACGGGGCAAGACCTCCAAACTAGTGTTGGTCGTATAGTATTGTATTTCATGCGTTTGCGGGAGTTAGTCGTTTAGCTTTGAATGGAGGAGCAAGGTAAATACGCTGAAAGAGGGTGCTGTGTAACTGATGTATCTGAAAAGAATAACCAAGATAATAGACGAAGAGTGACAGAGTATAACGACAAATTACAACCTCACTTATGAACTAAACAATTATTCAAGAGTGCCATAAATGTTGAAACATCAAATCTTGCCAGTTTTATTTTATCTTTATGTTTTAACAATAACCGCACGAGAAAAATTCAAGTCTCATTTGTTTGTTATAAGAAAAACAAAATGGCAATCCGACAGTGTCGTATTGTCATGTTATTGTGAGTTGTAGAATATAATACCAGACATCACAGTTTCGATGGCTTAAGATCCTGGAAGAGCGCCCCTATTCGGACACAACCCGCAGACTGCCCGCCCTAACAAGGATTATTGGCCACAGCCATTGCATAAGTAGTGTAGTCTTATTATAGTAACTATTTGTATATTTATCTCAGTCAATTATAATTACTATTATGTGATAGTTGTCCACCCATTTCTTGCCTTCCGGTCAGTTGACCTCAGTGACTGTGATGGTGTGCAGTATAAGCGCTGTATCTCCAGTGGACAAGTGCTATAAATAGCGGTTGGTGTTGCAACACGCTGCAAGCATGTCAATCTGAAACCATAATGTCTAAGTGGTTGCATTCTTCTGGAAGACCGCGACAATATTGCCAGAAGCAGGCGTCTATACATATTCGTGTGGATATGAATATGGCTGAGTGGCCGGGTACCAGGGTCAGTACAGATAGTAAACTATGGTGGAATTAGGAGACAACGAGAAATAGCATCAAGTGTTTGGGTACAAGCAAGAAATAGCAATTTACCATATGTAAAACCCAGCCTTATATATGAAGTGAATATGATACGTGCTGATATTTCTATGCTTGTAATATAATAGAAGAAAACGAGGAGAGATAAAGAAAATAAGGCGGTAATGAGGAGCATAAGGAGAGCAAATGAACGATGGCAATAAAAAAAGAAAATAAAAAGAAAAAGGAAAACACCATTGCAGAGGTTCGAACTCTGGTCCCCAGGGATTTCATATTGAAATGATGAAAACCTGGTATCCTAAACCACTAAGACGACAATGGTTTCTTGTTTGTTTCTTGATTTTTTTGTACTGTTATTTATCAATTAATAGACCAGCTTCCTGCCAAAGCAACTTCTAGATGCATGAAAGCAAACTTGCCCTGCAATATTTTCCACTAATTGGATGTGATCTAACGAAATGTCCATAAACCTACCTAATCACACCTCTTTTTCTTTGTGTCAGTAATTATATTGTGGCAGTTGTGTGTAACATGTTTCTCTCTAGGTAGTTATCGTACGTTGTATATCAAAGCCATGTCTTGGACTGTAGATTTAAGGGGTATTAATATAGGTGACCTAACAGTATATTATTAGACCTGTCGATATTCTAATACGGAGATTCATTTGATGATACCCGTTGTCTAATGGACTGTTGTCGCAGCCTCTATTGAGCTCCGGCATATATTTTCATCAAATATCAAACCTGCGAACTCGTCAGACCACACCGTTAGATGACCAGACGCAACTCTTAATTAGTGTTGCCGCCCAATAGATTATCTCGCTTGTGTATGCCAGACAGCCAGCGCATGGCGGGTCTGTGACGCGACATGAAGCCCTGTATGATATGAGTCTGAGACGATGACCATCGTCTGCTGGATCTGAGATATGTCTGTATCCATGTTTCAGCTCGATCAGGTGGCCTCCCCGTGGCGTGCGTGCTTACTTTTGTTAGCCTTTCACGGGTCACCAACCCGCCTGTGTTAACGTCATACCGTTTGGATGTAAGGTACACTGCTCAGGGTACACTGCTCAGGGTACACTGCTTCAAGCTCCTACAAGGCTGGATCTGATTTAAGAGACGTATTATCCACTTACAAGTCATTGACAATTGTCTACGAAGTCGATATTCATCGACGGATTATCGTAGTTATGTGCTGCGACTTTCTCAGTACACACCTGGGCATTAATGATTAACTTGCCGATGTATTATCAGTCCATCATTGAATATGCGCCAGCTAGATGCAGAGTATGATGGAAGTACCACTAGAGAAGACCCTCTGCTTCGATAGGGAAGTTGTTGAATCTACTAAGTCCTTCGGTGTCTTTGAGACATCGGTGGTTGCGGATCAACTAGGTGAAACGATGGACTAGTGATACTAGAATAAGTCTAACGCCGTGCGTCCGTATGATTACTCCAGGTACCGATAGAAAAGCGAAGTACACGGCCTCAGCATGGTGCACGAAAATATTGGGAGTCTTCAAGATCAATCGGAATTCACCCCAACGGGGGGCACGACGTTGGGACACGACTCAGGAAAGTTGAGGTCCTTGGGCCGCTTATGTCACGTATAACTCTAGTACCTCGAGTTCTGGAGCACAGAGTTCACGCACTGACTACATAAGGTGAAGTTTAGTAGCCGAGCGTAGGTTCAATTCCGCTTACGTTAGCCAACGAGGATGTTAGTCTGTCTCTACTAAGACCGGCGTGCTGATACGCTCTGCCAGAGGCTCTATACACGCGAGGTAGCAGATAAGACCAGAAACCAATAAAGATCGTATTCTCTTCTATCCCCCTTACAACCTATATTGATTATATGCTTGGGTTTGCGAACCGATCGGCGAGTAACATGTCTCTTTTTCTTATGTTTTGTTCTCCCCTTTCCGAGTCCTCTAGGTTACCCAAGTTTACCTTTCAGTCCTGGTGCGTTTTGGTTTGGTTCGGTGTGGGTTACCTCTAATCCAGAAAACTTATCACTGAATAATGTGTAAAAAGGAGGTGGCAAAGAATGTGACTTCTACTATTATCTAACCTTATCTGCTACCGCCGTAGGTGTGTGTGCGTGTGTACGGTCCCGGGCATATAGTATTATCTGGTTCATTTTAATTAAACTGACTTTAGCATTTCAGGAGAGAATTGGGCTAGTGCAGTTCATGAATATAGTTCCCAATTAAAAACCTTGTATAATACCGGTACAGAAAGGCCAGATCTGATTATGCGTCACTCATATCCTCCTTACAAACATCGTCTGCCCTTAGTGACCAGGATTTTATTACTTCATTGGGTCATTTGTGGATTTGGCCCTCCCCTGAATATACAAAATGTTGAATCTTCTAGACCGCATCCGCGGTCAAAGAGCAAACGACACTTCAGATTATCACCTCCTAGACGCGGAAGTAGACCAATATGGGAAACTAGAGGAGAGAAACTCATCGGAGACTGCTGCTGGAGATTATGGAGCAATAATTACATCGAAGGAGCATCGCTGGGGAAAGATCAAGGGACGGCTCAGCCAGTTGGCGATACTTTTGCCCAGCTATTTTCGTCGGTCTGACCCGGAAGCAAAGACTCGAAGCCTGCACAGAACAGCATGGTTGGGTAAGATAAATACCGTTGGCCTTAGTGTGGGAATTTCGCTGACTATGGGCAGACGGTCTCCGCGGGATCTCGGCGTTCTGCGTCGTCTGGCATCACATGTCGGTAATATGGTTCTCGTGGGAAATCCATAAAGGATGGGCGAGTTTCAACGATTCAATTATCCGATTTCCCATCATTCGGCTAGCAATCGCGGGCCTGCCAAACGTCATGGTGTTCTTCGTGATATCTGGCTACGCGCTTAGTTACAAGCCCCTGAAGTTGCTTCGGCAAGAAGATAATGACGGCTTTTCTCGGACCCTGGCGTCCTCTTTGTTCCGACGTCACTCGCGGCTCTTCATCCCAGCAGTCGTGTTATCCGCTCCTTCGGTCGCTATAACCTACTTCGGCTTCAACGGGAATGGGGAATCCATGCCGGGCGCGGCGGTGGCGACGATCAACCCGCCCCAGCTCGATACCTTCTGGCACCAATGTCTGAACTATGTTCCCGAAGTTCTGCGTATGTGCGCCATATTCACAGGAGATGCTAACAACTGGGCATACAATAATGTGCTGTGGACTTTACCGATGGAGTTCAAGTGCTCACTGGTCATATTCGGCATGCTCCTTGCGCTCTCACGCCTGCGCAACAACGCTCGCATGCTCATTGTAGCAGGCGTAGCACTATACAGTCTATGCTATGCTCACTGGGCCGAGTTTCTATTCGTCAGCGGTATGCTCCTGGCAGATCTTCAGTTTCAATTTTACAATCGCCCGGACGTGCCCAGGACTGAGTATGTCGAAAATCGCTGGTGGCAAGTCAAACCTCGATGTTGCACTTTCCAGACAGTGGCCTCCTCGGCTCTGTGCCTCGCTTCGCTCTATGTCTTGGGCATGCCTAAACTAGAGGTTGGAGGTGCCGACGCCCAGGGCTTTAGGACATTAGGCCACATGATCCCTCAGATATATCATGCCACGAGTGCCGGTAGTCACTTCTGGCCGTCAGTCGCCGCCATACATCTGATATTTGCTATCGATTCTGCGCCATTTCTGCAGAAGCCGTTTACTTGCGGTTTCGCGCAGTATCTTGGACGGATCTCCTATTCGCTTTACCTGGTACACTTGATTATATTGCATAGTTTCGGCTTTCGGATTGGCAAATTCTTCGTCGGACTAACAGAATCAGACACCGATCTACACTACTTCACAGGAATCTCCCTGGCTGCAATCGTCTATTGGTTTGTTACCCTTTGGGTAGCTGACGTAGGCCAGCGCTTTGTTGATGCCAATGCCGTACGTTTCGCGTCATGGGTATATGGCAAACTTTCTATGTAAATGATGCCTCCATGGCATACCTAGGGCCTCCAAGACTGGAGGCATAGGGAACCAGAAACGGCCCAAAATCAGGTGGTTTCAGAGCCGTTTGCAACCCCAAAGAGCGACGTGTCGAGGGATACGAAAGCTGTCAGCAAATCAAAGACGCAACCTCCTATTGCCATCCTATTTCGTTCACTACATCTGCATTGTTGCGTAACGTGCGCCTCTATACAAAGGTGACCGTGTTGGGGTCAACGCATACATATCAAGCAGCTTAGCGACCCGCAGTCCACCCAGCTAACCCCACGGCGGACACCATCCCTGAGCTCACGAGGCGGAAGGCTGCCTTGCGAGGATTGCCTTCCTTCCACACGACGTAGCTGTCGACCAGGCCTGCATAGGCGCCTAGGATAGCGAGGATGGTATCGCACGCAGCCAGGTCGCGGCGAAAATAGAGGGTATATAGACACATGCCGACGACGGTCGTGCGGGCGTTATTAATTTGCATGATGGCTGCCGCGGCAGGCGTGCTAGCGATGCGTTCCGGGAACCCGAACTCGAGCATAGAGCCTCGCGCGTCAAAATAAGACCACATCCCACCGAAGGTCATCACGGTTGCTGTGAAGAGCGCGGGAACATGGCGCAGTTCAAAATGATCGAACATACTGGAGTTGGGGTTCATATGTTCTTACCAAAGCGTGGTGTTTGATTGATGGGCTGGGCGGGACGATGATCGTGTCTGTCGTTGTAATGTGAGGAGGAAGTTGTAAAATGAAGGAAGCGACTTAGCACGGGTTTTGGTTTGTTTTCATCTTAAGTACGGATAACATGCTACTCAAAAAAATACCCAGGAAGACAACCAACAGATATGCGTCTATGTGCAATTGGTGTCTAACAACATCCGAACTCCGGTCATATTACACCTAAACTCACTCTTGTCACTCAGCGATATTTCAACGAGGGAAAATCGTAAAAATGCAGGAAAAATAGTAATATATAAATAATTACATTGATTTATATATATCATAAGTTTTATGGGTTTGACGTAGGTACGAAGCATATAACCCGGTTTAGAATTGCAAGTTGCGACTTGAAATTCTTGTTCTCTTTGTTGCCTGTAGGAATGCCTAAGTGGAGAGTAGTTGCCGAAGGCTCGGGGTTCAACGCATACCCGATTAACACTTGACGTGTGTTATCTCTCTTGACATGTGCAACCCCTTACAGGAGTAAGGAGGTCTTGGAAAGCTATCATAATTCGACTTGCTTTCACGAGGGGTGTTTAGGGTGGCCGTATAACGGATGACCTTTAATGTACCGTTTGGCATTTTGCCGTTCACATATCGGATGTACCAGTTTATTCTTCATGTTGGCATTGTATTTTGGACTTATGTTT